ACATTATTACAATGTACATCATCATGAGTGGGCATACATTATTACAATGTACATCATCATGAGTGGGCATACATTATTACAATGTATATCCTCATGAGTGGGCATACATTGTTACAATGTAGATCATCATGAGTGGGCATACATTGTTACAATGTAGATCATCATGAGTGGGCATACATTGTTACAATGTAATACAATGTATATCATCACGAGTGGGCATACATTTTTACAATGTATATCATCATGAGTGGGCATACATGGTTACAAGGTATATCAGCATGAGTGGGCATACATTGTTACAATGTAGATCATCATGAGTGGGCATACATTGTTACAATGTATCTCATCATGAGTGGGCATACATTGTTACAATGTAGATCATCATGAGTGGGCATACATTGTTACAATGTAATACAATGTATATCATCACGAATGGGCATACACCGTAACAATGCAATACAATGTATATCATCATGAGTACGCATACATCGTTATAATCTAAGGTTTATCATCATAAATGGGCATACATCATTACATTATTAAGTTTTATTTGCAAACATTTGAATTTGCGAAGGAAAGGATTCTGTTTCCATATTAACAGTGATTTAATTAATCGTGGAAAAATTAAATTCTCCTTGCATCATCCTTTGGGAATAAAGGATCCTACACACAACAATACTGTCAATCAATCTATTTGATGTATATTTTACATTGTGAACTTTGTATTAAGGTTTTGTCAAGTTTCAATAATACAGTAATAGAATTATCAAGGAAGAATTAATTTTGCAAAGATTCTCCTCGCATATTAATCATTAATGAGAATAAAGTGATTAAGAGAAGTCCCTGAATCAAATAAACAGACAGAATTAGGAAAGATGAGTCAGTTTATAAGTTAATCTATATTAATCAAGTGTTAACTTCAGTCTTCACATGTAACTCTATATGACAAGCTAGCTAAGTGCTAACACCATATAACCGGTCTAAACCAGCCCCTGTCTAATCCGGATCCCTGTCTAAACCGGCTGTGATTTGTGGTCCCAGCATATTCCTTATATAATCATAGTAGTTCAACTCTGTATAAACCGGACCATGTCCATTCCGAAAACCGTCGATGTTTCACAAAAGTTAGCATCGTAATCCATGTACATTCCGGTCCTGATATTTCTCTTGACCGACTACAACCTTAAGATGACACATTCTAAACAAATTAGGGCTATCCAATGTTGGGTCGCCCTTCATTTGTATTATAAACTGTATATGTTGTGAATAATTAGACGTTGCAATTGATTCATTTCTCTGTTGTTTATGTTGACACACTTGTATACAGATCGTATGCAAAACACTACATTTTTGTATTTTCAAAAACTGACATCCTGACCTTGTATAAACCGGACATCTGTGTAAACCAGACAAATAGTTTGGTTCTGGTTACATCCGGTTTAGACAGGTTATACTGTATATGAAATTCAATTAAGTCCTTTCAGAAATGAAGTCGCTGGAGCGATGATAAAGTTTTTTTTATAAAATAGTAACAATGACCTTGACCTTGGCACCCTGACACACGAACTCGTTCCAGGCATTCTCATACCCAATCTGTGTATAAACATCCTACGCATCTCCTCTGTCACAAAGGGATTATTTTAAGTATACACGAGATAATCATAACATGATTTCTTGGGAAATGCAATTTAAATCTTAAACCGAAAAATATTACTACAATATTTGAAGTGCCCTTTGTTACTGCATCCAACAAAAGTGTTACATGTATTATAAAGCTTAAGAGAAATCCCCTTTAGCTGAGGTAGTAACAGTCACTAATGAGTTCCCCACTAATGATTTGTAATAATTAACATTGTGTATCAGAATTAACAACTTTGAGATGAAACGTTCGTAAACATTAACATTATAAACATACATTTTATATCAAGTATTCAGTCAAATGTTTACATACATTTTATATCAAGTATTCAGTCAAATGTTTACATACATTTTATATCAAGTATTCAGTCAAATGTTTACATACATTTTAAAAACAATTCAAATGAAGTCCTGTCCACATAGTTTAACTATTCTAGCTGATCACAGCATTGACGGATTCACTTCACAGACACTTATATAATTGACACATATCTATTACACTGTATATATAATGGTTTTATTTGTATACATAGGCGTGTACATTGTACTCTACCACAATCTACTTTCTTGAATTGGACATTATTCATCCAGTCAATCACGCGAAAGACACACGGCCTTACTCAAACCATTGTCCACTTACCAGGCGTCTGTGACTCAAACCATTGTCAATTTACCAGGCTTCTGTGGCTCAAACCATTGTCAACTTACCAGGCTTCTGTGGCTCAAATCATTGTCAACTTTACAGGCTTTTGTGGCTCAAACCATTGTCAACTTACCAGGCTTCTGTGGCTCAAACCATTGTCAACTTACCAGGCTTCTGTGGCGAACATACAAGTAGACCTTCGCAGGTTCTGCTTAATTATTGTTACCTCAACCCCTCACACGCTCATCTAACGGTTGAGTGAACAAGAAGTAGAAAGTGGAGAGAAAATAAAGAAAGCCTTAGGGAAGTGACGTAGATATAGGTATGATAAGAATTCAGGCATGTAAATCAGGTGTTGTGTGTTAAGGTGTGGTCATGTCAAAGTCACGTCCGACTGGTTTGGTCACATTCCACAGAACGCGTGTACACTTACTGGATCAGGTTACGTATACAACAGGTCACACAAGTCATGTATAACGGAGCAAACTCAAATACTAAAATATCTAACATGGATGAAGGCAATAAACAAGGGTAAGAATGACAAAATAGATATATAAATGTGTATGTTTTCTATTTGACATCACACTCCTGCAAACATACTCTGTTCCTGATGTCATAGCAATCTGGAGTGACTTTCAGAGCAAATAATAATACTGAGCTAGGTTAAAACTGTCATCAGGGTTCTCGTTAAAAGCCGGCTATTTCAGTGTATACAACCTGATATTGTAAGAAATACTCATTCTTTCTTTTTACAGAATTGACACTTCCATATCGTGATGATTTGATCAATATCGGCAAACAACAATATTGACTTAACCAGTTGGACAGAATCAATCAGAACTTCTGGGTCTAATCGATACAGAACAAATTCGATGAGAAATGGAGCCCTCATAGAAAAAAATCAAACTAAACGATTTCTTTGTCGCCCAGAACAGAAATACGAGTGATTTGGGCGCTGTAATTGGCAGATGTTCATATTTACTTTCAATCCGATCTATATACTGTTAGGAAGTTTCTCTGTCAGTAACTTTTGAATCACGTTGCGATTTGTACGTGAAGTAATCAGTCGCGCGGAACACCCTATCAGTCTCGTAAATTTTCATGAAAAGGGATAATTAGGTGTGACTCGTAACAAGCATCAGTATGATTTAATTGCGAATTTCAAACATTTTCATAAGCAATTCTTAGATAACGGCAATGTTCCTGGCGATAATGATGAGACATTCACATTGTGTACATAAAGGGGGGTAACTTGTGATGTACGAAAAAAAATATCCAAATGAAGTGTTGACAGTTTTGTAACAATTTCCACGTCAAACTTTTAAAAATGTGAGATATACATAGCAAAAATGACCAATGATGTACAGAACATTAGATATTAAATAAATCATGCTGGAAAAAAGTTTTGTTTTCGTTTTACTTTTTTGCCAGTTCTCTAGACAACATTTTTGACCAGTTTGGTAAAATTGGGATATATATATTTACACCCACTCAACATTTAAACATTCTACTTATGCATTTTATATCTGTCAGATATCTATACAGAGACTTTTAGTGACAAGCCCCAAGCTACCTCGTGCCCATGAAAAGACTTAAAAACATCAAAAAAAGTTTCTGAAACACCTCTGTTATCTGGAGCAATGCAATTTTTGTATTGAGTTTTCAACATGTGTTGATTATTTACAGTTTATTTATCAGGGAATCATATTTCTTTTCAGTCGCACAAAAACTGCTCCAATAATATAACAACCTTTATATAGTGCCCTATATAATTTGTAAAATTACTCTAAGGCATTGTACAACACATGAATAATAGTATTCCTACAGTGACAGTTATAAATAAAGTAGATCAAAAGGTATACAAATCAGCATTACACATGAAATAACCATACATTCATCTCAATATGCATACAAATAAATATATATAGGTTGGTATGTACATGACATCTGTACAAGAGCCTAAAATGAAGACTTAAAGATGTGGGTCTTTATATACTTCTTTCTTCCAAGAGAATTTAATTACAAATTAAGACAGAGATGAATGAAACATTGATGAAATTTTGGCAAATCGCGAATACTCTTGGCATAATGCTGTAACACTTATAAATAGCCAACAAATATTTGTTAGTGCTTTTAATGTTCTAAAAGTCTATTAATCATATTGTTTATACATTTGCTAACATTTACAAAACAAATATTTAAACGGTCTGTACTTCTGATAAAATGGTCATGATTTTCTGTGTGAAGTCTTATGTGGGGTTACTTTTATATTAATTACAGCCCTGTAATTCAAATCACATGATTTTTGTGTGGTATCTATACCATCCTTATGATCAACTTTAAACCATAACTTTTAAAACTATTTTAAAATAAGTATCTTTGTTGTTTTATTTTAATACCGAATGCATTTACTAGAGCAATTTAATACACCAAAAAAATCATTGCTGAAGAGTCAAGACCTGAAATACCAGTTCTCTACCAGTCTATTTTTAGCACAACCAGTCTATTTTAAGCACCATACTCGCATCTCACGAAGGACACCCCCTTGATATCGGCGAGAAAAACGCGACTCGAGAATGAATTTCGACAAAAACTTCGAAACAAAACTTGTTTGGTTTTATTTCATATGAACATTGGAAAGATTTCATAAAAAATAACTTTGTTTTGTGTCATGTTACACATGTGAATGTACATAACATAGAGAAATGAGTGTGAATATTTAGTGTTTTTGTTGACCAAACAATTGGACAAGATATTCATACAAAGAGTTGTTTTCTGTCCCCCGTTTCTTTGCGTAGTCTAAAACAGATTCTCTCTGATTGGTTAGTATGGTTGTGATGTCATACTTACATCCTGGTGATTCTAGGTACTGTTTTACATGAGTTTCACACTCAGTGAACAGGTCTACATCTGACGTTAACAGAGCTATGTAATGTAGACAATGCCACCCCCTATAAGTTTACAGCTGTAGTTAGTGCTGGGTACGACTCACACAGATATTTACAAACCTCCATGTGTCCCCCCATAATACTATAATATAATACTGTTCTCCCGTCATTATCTACAGCTGTAGTTAGTGCTTGGTACGCCTCACACAGATATTTACAAACCTCCATGTGTCCAGACCAACAACTATAATGTAACACTGTTCTCCCGTCATTACCTACAGCTGTAGTTAGTGCTGGGTACGACTCACAAAGATATTTACAAACCGACATGTGTCCCCCCTTACAACTATAATGTAACACTGTTTGCCCGTCATTATCTACAGCTGTAGTTAGGGCTGGGTACGACTCACACAGATATTTACAAACCTACATGTGTCCCCCCTTACAACTATAATGTAACACTGTTTGCCCGTCATTATCTACAGCTGTAGTTAGTGCTGGGTACGACTCACACAGATATTTACAAACCGCCATGTGTCCAAACCTACAACTATAATGTAACACTGTTTGCCCGTCATTATCTACAGCTGTAGTTAGTGCTGGGTACGACTCACACAGATATTTACAAACCTCCATGTGTCCCCCCTTACAACTATAATGTAACACTGTTCTTCCGTCATTACCTACAACTTTGGTTAGTGCTGGGTACGACTCACACAGATATTTACAAACCTCAATGTGTCCCTCCCTACAACTATAATGTAACATTGTTACCCCTCTATTATTTAGAGCTGTAGCTAGTGCTGGGTACGACTCACACAGATATTTACAAACCTCCATGTCCCCCCTCCTACAACTATAATGTAACACTGTTCCCCCGTCATTATCTACAGCTGTAGTTAGTGCTGGGTACGACTCACACAGATATTTACAAACCTCAATGTGTCCAAACCCACAACTATAATGTAACGCTGGTAACCCGTTATTATCTACAGCTGTAGTTAGTGCTGGGTACGACTCACACAGATATTTACAAACCTCCATGTGTCCCTCCCTACAACCATAATGTAACACTGTTTCCCCATTATTATCTACAGCTGTAGTTAGTCTTGGGTACGAATCACACAGATATTTACAAACATCCATGTGTCCAAACCCACAACTATAATGTAACACTGTTCTCCCGTCATTACCTACAGCTCTAGTTAGTGCTGGGTACGACTCACACAGATATTTACAAACCTCCATGTCTCCCTCCCTACAACTATACTGTAACACTGTTCCCCCGTTATTATCTACAGCTGTAGTTAGTGCTGGGTACGACTCACACAGATATTCACAAACATCCATGTGTCCCTCCCTACAACTATAATGTAACACTGTTTCCCCATTATTATCTACATCTGTAGTTAGTGCTGGGTACGACTCACACAGATATTTACAAACCTCCATGTGTCCCTCCCTACAACTATAATGTAACACTGTTCTCCCGTCATTAGTTACAGCTGTAGTTAGTGCTGGGTACGATTCACACAGATATTTGCAAACCTCCATGTGTCTCCTCACACAACTATAATGTAACACTGTTAACCCGTACTTATCTACAGCTGTAGTTAGTGCTTGGTACGACTCGGACAGATATTTACAAACCTCCATGTGTCCCCACCCACAACTATGATGTAACACTGTTAACCCGTACTTAGTTACAGCTGTAGTTAGTGCTGGGTACGACTCACACAGATATTTACAAACCTCCATGTGTCCCCTCATACAACTCACATGTAACACTGTTATCTTGTTCTCATCCACTAACTGACACATGTACTGAGCACACACACAATTCCTGTGCACCACACGACCTTCTACTGTCTTATACTTATGTTGTTCGTCCTCAACTCTATACAAGGATTTAAGTATAATTCTTTCCACTTTGTATAATATATTAACGCTCCCTCCTTCTACCACACAAAGCAATGTCTCCTTGTCAGGTTTCACACCCTCTGACAGGAGGAATAAAACACATTCTTCTGAACCAGAAAAGCATGCTCCATTCAACAAGGCAAACTTTATCACATGGCACAAGTTTTTGTCAACATTCTGACCACTAAGCCATCTGGTAAATCCCTGCAGAAACTGATCATCTGTCCAAACATCTAATGAAGTTATAGAATGATATTTACTATAAAACCTGTCACGTTCTGGGTCAGAGTTACTAGAATAGACAGATTCAAACTCTCTGACTAAACGTTTATACATGTACTGATTATCAGATGATATAACTACTTTGTTTGGAGTGGTTTTTGAGGTAGTTACATAACTGAGAAACTTGCTGGGACAATTCTGTATGTAGCCAATGCGAGTTTTTTCTCCATACAAAAGAGCCAGAGTTTCCTCAATTGAGTCATGGTTGAATTTGTAACAAACTTTTTGTTTTTGGTTAGACTCTTTTTTCACCATCCAACCCAACAGACAATCTAACGAATCCTTCACAAATTCTATTTTCCTCCCCTTAGACTTACTGTGAACAACAAGCTCAGCTGTTGTGGTAACTTTTACTACATCATTAGCAAATGCTGCTTCTAATAAATCGTCATCAATATTTTCATTGTTAGAGTCTAAATTATCTTCCATGACTTTGCCTCCGTGAAGGAAAAGATACATCAGACCATAACATTTTCCGTCTTCCAATTTAGATAATGAAGATTTCAGAAAATGAAAAGGTCTTTTAAAAAAATTGACCCTCTCCGTTTGCAAAGTAGGTGAATCTCTGAACAACCTACAGCATTGTGGAAACCCAATGTCAGGAGCACACTTGACAATTTCCTTCTCTTCATCATCTTTCCACGAGTCAAAACTAACTTTTGGTTTGTATAACCTTAACAATTTAAGTTTTTCTTCTGCATCAATGTTAAGGTCAACAATGTTTTGTTTAGTGAATATTTTTTCTAAGCAAGAAGCATTTAAATAATTTGAAATTCCACTGCGAATTGCAACAATCAGAAAATTGCCGTCTGTGTGCTCATTTCCACAAAGTTTTGAAATAATAGATTTTTCTCTTTTCTCCCATTCTTCTACATCTTTTTTACACACAACATTCTTTCCAAAGATATCATCTAAATAAATAACTAATTGTGACTTTGGGGTCACCTTATCCAAGTCTTTGATATCATGCAGTTCTAGTGGCTGTCGACATTGTTGCCTCTCCTCATTATAGCACAGCCGACGGAGAAGTTCAAGTGCAATGGATGTCTTCCCGTCTCCAGAATTTCCCTTAATTATCACCAAGCTGTTCTTCATTAGTTTATCGTAGGCATCCTTGAGACTTTTGGTAGAAAAGAACTTGTATTCGTCTTTTTCTTTCAATATCATGGCTGTGGTTGTTTCTGCAAGGAAAAAATAAATCATGTCCCGTAAGAACAAACGTCAGCGTGAAATAGCCAACATTTATGAGTCCCCCATGGAAGTCAGGAAATACATCTTTAACGTTAAGCAATGTAAAGATAACCTACAATATAGACATATCTTGATAACATATGAACTTGTGATTTGTGACATTATCTGATGGTAAAGATTGACTTTTCTCTCATTTCCCTGTGTGAAAGATATAGCTGTCCAGGGTAAGAAAGGGGAGTAGGAAATTTCTGTCTTACAACCCATTTCACGTGACTAGACGTCACAATGGCTCAACAATGACGTGACGTCAGGAATTTGGAACTCTCCGATGCCGCAATGCGGAAAAGGCGACGTGATGAATATTTTTTTTAAGATATATTTACCATGCAGGTTAGAAAGATGTGAATATATTTTCTCGCAAACCTTGTTTGCAAATATGGGATATGCTCAATATGGTTGGCTGATTCATTTTCGTCTTAAAAGCTCAGGGGGGGGGATTGATTTTTTCAAAGTGGTAGCCAGTCGAAACGCATCTATCAGGTTTCAGGGCTTATTCTGGTGGTTGGAATGAGAGAAAAATACTCTTTCATGCCCAAGGGTGTAGGATAGGGAAATTCCACCCTCAGGATTTTCAAATTTCACAGGTTTTACCGAATTTGAAAACCTCTCTGACGGAATTTCCCTATCCTTCACCCCTGGGCATGGAAGAGTCTTATGATATTACCCAGGTGTTTCTGAATCTTTACAAAGCAAGATATGCTAAAACACTGACATGTCAAAAAGGGCCCCGCTGTTTGCCTTAAAGTATAATACATATCCCAAATTGCCAATCAGATGCCAAAGCAATAATTTTTGATTCTGGAATATGGATAGTAACGCATCATATAAATATATAGTTGCAAAGGAACATTTACCAACAGGTATGAATAAAATCTGACCAGCAGAGCAGGAAAATAGCCTGAAATATCTCGGACAGTCGGAAGCGATGACAGCCACCTTTTATAATGGTATCTGAGTATTATCTATATACCTCACTTATAACAATGTACCATCATGTAAAATTTCATAAAGTTTTAGACTTCATAACAGTTATTGTTTGATACAAATTCAATTATTTTGCATGCTCTTTAGCATTTGAACAGTTTTATTTTGAACTGTTCACTAGTGGCTGTGCCTGAAGATTAGTTTGGTTGAAATACACATTATACTGCAGCTCTCCTTCATCAAGTCAGGTCTTCTTATCCATCCCCGTTCAGTAAACTCACCTATCATAGCTGTTAGCTTAGGATCCCTATCTGTAAAATACAAAAGATCCATGTGATTTTTTTAGATAATTCACAGAACGTTGATTAAGACATGTGCAATGTAATTGGAAACATCTATTTCTACTTCTATTCCTAATTAAGTAAAGATTAATCATCACCATAAAAAAAAAGCTCAAATAATATAAACTTTTTTTCTCCACTTTTACCAGAGAAATATCAGAAATTATCAATGAGATTAGAAGGTATATCTTCACTGCTATTTATACATATATATCATTAGTGCTATGAAACAATACTTGCTATATGCTTAACCCTGACTTTCCATACATTAGTATATATGCAATAATGTTGTCATGTATCAATCCATGTATTTAAATATTTTGAAACTGGTGAAGTGGGATGCATCTTCATTAACAAACATCTCACTGACTGGGATTGTGGGACTAAAATTTTACACACGAGTAATTTTCACCTGAAGTCAAGCGTCACTCTAACATGAGTTCAGATAATCTCTAGACCTATTGTTGTTGGAACCTGCCATTCAAGTGCATCAAAACTTTTATATTTTGACAACCCAGTCTATTTATCAACCCCCTGGAGTGGTTTAAAGCAGCTGGCATGCTAAACATTCTGCTGTAGAATTTATAGTTAGGATCCCATCAGAAAATTGGTGATAGTGATAAAGCATGAACTTTGACCCTTTAACCTAAGATGATCATGACTACAACAAGACTATGGGACTAAACGATCACATGAGTCAACATTATTTATTTTTGTTGTTGAAATATAAAGTGGAGATAATGATGTCAATCATCCCTACCAATTTGAGTAAAAAATAGTTAAGTATAACGTTAAGTTAAGTTTGTCAGGACCATGAGTTGATCATTCCTAGACCGAGTTTCAGTTAAATCGGCCTATTAGAACTTTATTTTAAGTTTGGAATAGTTTTTCGTCAAAATGGAGACTGAAGCAGCCGTATTGGATTTGTTATCAGCCCAAACAAAAACGAACACTTTGCAAGGACCATGAGTTTATCATTCCTACCAAGTTTCAGTTAAATACGCCCATTAGAACTTGATTTTAGGTTTGAAATAGTTTTTCAAAATGGCAGCTGTGGTGGCCATATTGGATTTCTGATTGACCCGAAATATATTAACACTTTGTCAGGACCATGAGTCGATCATTCCTACCAAGTTTCAGTTAAATACGCCCAGTAGACTTTGCCTTTAAGTTTGAATAGTTTTTCAAAATGGCGGTTGTGGCGAACATATTGGAATTCTGATCAACCCAACAAATAACAACACTTGGCAGGACCAAGAGGTGATAATTCCTACCACATTCAGTAAAATTGGCCCACTAGAACTTGACGTTGAGTTTGAATTTGTTTTTCTAAATGGCTGCCGTGGTTGCCATATTGGATTTCTGATCGACCCGAAAAATAATAATACTTTTTCAGGACTATAAGTCGATCATTCCTACCAAATTTAAGGTCTAGGTTCAATCTACCCTGTAGATTTTGACTTTAAGTTTGAAATGGTTTTTCAAAATAGCGGCTGTAGCGGCCATATTGGATGTCTAATCCACCCAAAAAATAACAACACTTTGTCAGGAACATTGAATTAATCATTCCTACCAAGTTTCAGTTAAATCGGCCCAGTAGAACTTGACTTAAAGTTTGAAATAGTTTTTCAAAATGGCGGCTGTGGCGGCCATATTGGATTTCTGATCGACCCGAAAAACAACAACACTTGGTCAGGGAAATGTCAGTAACATTCCTATGAAGTCTCAATGAAATCCCCTCTACAGTATTTCAGTTTAAGTTGAAAATGTAAAAGACGACAGATAGCAAAAGGTTACTTGAGTTTAAGCTCAGGTGACCTAACAATCTAATCAGCTGTAAAGCTTAAGGTTACCACACTGTTGTGTATATTCAAACAAAATGTACTGATGATATCGTGTATGCAAGCATTTTACTTTAAAAGTGAGCAAGTGTGAATATTGACCCGTTACTCTTAATGAATGACAACAAAATATAGTCGGAAGTAGAACTTAATACTGCTAGACTATGGTTAAAAAAGAAATAGATTTGTATTGGTATTAATCTCAAAATTGTAACCTTAAAAGTTGACTACCGCATGCTACTGGTCAAATATCATCATATTTTGGTGTTTCCTAGCATGTTGCTTACCAAATATCATCACCTAAGGGGTTTATTCCGAAGAAGTGGTATAAAGTAATTTAAGACATTTACCCTGTGTGACCTTGAATATGTTTGAAGGTCATTCATTTGAACAAACTGGGTAGCCCTTCATCCCAGCATATTACTGGCCAAATATATATATATATTACCTCCCTAGGCTTTTTGGTTATTCAGAAGAATTCTTTTTAACAAATTTTATCCCTGTGATTTACCTATATTCCCCAATTAGGCCACCACCTATCCCNCCCAGCCTCACCCCTGTGCCCCTGGGATAGCCAAATCCTCCATAAAATATTCCTCTATTTCCCTTAATTGGCCCTAACCCTCAGCTCCAAGAGGACAATACTCTTCATTTACACAGGGTTGAATCCCCTTGGCCATAGAATTCTCCAGACTAATTAAGTTAAAACATCACTTTTCTCACATTCAAGAAGTATGCCTTTAAATTTTACTTGTTTTTCCTATAGGACCTGCCTCTCTTCCCCCAGAGGTCACATCCTCCATTTAAACAACCTTGACCTAAGGATGCTCCAGACCAGTTAGGATTAAAATAACTTGTCTTTGTCGATACTCAAGGAGTAGGATATTAAAGATTTACCTTAATTTCCCCTATTGGGCCCTGCCCCTCTTTCCCAGAGGGGACACCCCCTTCATTTATTCAATATTGATTCCCCTCAGTCTAGCAATGCTTCACGCCAAATGAGGTTAAATTACATTCAGCCATTCAGGTCTAGCAGTTTTTTAAGTGAAAAACTGACAGACGTACTGTTCATCACAGCATACACTCACTTGCCATTAGGACAAGTGAGCTAGAAAGTTTGTCAGTGTTGTAACTTCATTTTTTTGCTCAATTAAAAAGGGTTTAAAAAAATTTAACCTAAGCCATATTTTTCAGTTGCTTTGCTTTGCTGATCCCAAAGTGATTTTAGCACCAAGCATGGTAAGACCTTTATTTACTTTAATAGTAATTCAGTGGTCATGTCGGCAATCAATACATATTGTGGTTATATTTTTAGCATTGTTTGACACTGTCCTTTGAAATTGAGGTTTGTTGTTTCCTATCTTCTAGCATATACACTGTATGTAGTAATTAATGTATAGCAGAACAATTTTTAAGGTCACCCGAGACAACGTCTCAAGTGACCTATTGTGATCGCCTTTTGTACGGCGTCGTGCGTCAAAATTGTGATTATATGGTCCCAGCCCCAGGGGCCTGAGGGGCGGGCCCAAAAAGGGTCAAATTGACTAAAATTTCAAACATCTTCTCCAGATCCAGATATGGTAGAATCAAATACTCTTCATAGAATTTCATGACCCTGTAGTCTCACGTTTCCCCCTGGGGAGGGGGTAAACTTTACTATAGTTTATATAGAGAAATCACATTTTGGACCAGCATTTGTTTAATTTCCATTAGAATTAATTCAAACTTGGTTAGCATTATCAGTATTGGATAGCAGTTTGATGATATGCTCAGATGACCTAAATATGCACAAATAGAGACTAGTGGGAACCTGCATAACAAATTTGAGAAAAATCCCTCAAGAACTTTCTTAGAAAAAGCGAAAACAAAATTGTTTAAGGAAAGCCACGGATGACTGAAGACGGAAGGACCACGGACATGATTGAAGAATAATTATAAATAGATCACTGTCAGAGAATCATGTATTTCATAGCAAGAGATCCCAGAGAGGGATCTTGCCGCTTACAATTGCACCACCTTCATTAGTTCTTTGTCAGTTTGATATTTTCTCTTCTTTTCTCTCAAATGGATTGATTCATGTAATAAATGCACCTTGAGGTAATTTATGATGAAAACTTTATACTACTTTATATAAAAGACATCCTTCAGTTTGTTGTTTCACATATTTACTAGTACAGTACCTAATGCGAAAGAGGGGTAGCTGAGTGTACAGTAGCGTACGGTGGCCATGGGTGATTTTTTTATACAATGAATAACCCCTGTAATATTAAATGTATCAAAATAGAAATGAAAAAATCAACACTAAAATTGGCATATACATGATAAAGTGGACTATGTGGGCTTCATAATTTTTCAAAAAAAATCAATAATTCAGTTTTGGGCATTTACAAATCTGTATCTACACTGGATAAGCTGGCTTTTCATGTAGTTTATTTTTGTTCTCAGCATGTGTAAATATTGTGAAAAATCCACCGGGTTAATGTATGCTAAAACGTGAGTATTTCTGCCACTGAGTAGGTGATATTTAATTTCAAACAGGTTTTAAGACTTTGATCTTGGGAACTCTTTAAACCCTACTGCACATCTTCATATCACAATGCACCATCATATAAAATTTCCTAAAGCTTCAGACCTCTGCAGTCTGAGACAAAACATCAGACACGCATTACATAATTATCTCTCCAGTTAAACATTAATTAGTCAATATCATTAGTACAGAAGAGTTTAAATGTGGACACTGATATTTATTAAAGTAGATTTTCTATCACTTTTTTATAGAATCACTTTAAGCAAATACAGTAAAACACGGTTACAATGAATCCCAGGGGACCTGCTTAATCAACTCATTATTAAGGTAGTTCATGTTACGTAAAACGATTATACATGTATATTGTTATTTTTGAAAACATCACTATATGAAATTACGTTTAAAAAAAAGTAAACAAAAATCAAATTGAGCCGAGAGAAAAAATTGCATATCGTTAATGTAAGCACTCGCCCTAGCAACACTGAAGGAATCTACCTCATCTCCCTCCCTCCACTTTCCCCCTTCCTTACTGTTAGAAACATTGAGTACATCCTACATGTACACAACCCAAAATATCAGACATCTCATTCGAGTTAATAACAGTCGACCTCGACCTCAGTAGCTTCGGTCTCAACTCAACATGCAGATTTTCATCGAAAACATAATTCATTGTATGCATTAGTCAAATAATATCACGTAAAAGCATTTGAAGTTATGTCGGATAAACATCTCAACACCTAATGTCATTGTACAAAACGTACACAAGCAAGTAGCTAACAGTTGGCCCTTGAGGGCCTCTCGATGAAGGTCGAGATAGGAAATTGGATTCATATATAGAACAGTGTTAACATAACACTGAATTTCACATAAGGTGAATGCTGATTTGCTTCGTAATAGACAATAATTCGCTGTACAAAAGTTGCAATATGATAATAAATTAACATAGAAGTAAGAGGGAGAAGAGCTAGGGAATCAGCATCAGTTCGCAATACCCATAAAATCACAATAATTGTTTTCGTACTAACGTGTTTTACTGTATTATCAATGTTATCAACAATGATAAACATTAGGACATGCTCACACAACACACCTTTTGTCTGGTCTCCTTCTCCAGTCTTGCGTCGATTGGCTTCCGATAGTCCTGTTAGTCAACCGAAATTAAACAAATTATATATATCGTGATTGACATTGAACAGTGTTTTTTTTGTTTTTTTTCATTTGCAAATAGGTAACATCCATATTGCATGAAGCCTGCTACAGTGGAATGAGGCTTGATCAGCTTATGAGTATGTAGCAAAGATAAATATGACGTTGAGATTTCATCGTTTGTGTACATTCTTTGTGTTAAAACATGATTTTAATTTCTAATCATAATTTCAGTAAGAGTAACAATATTATAAGGATGACATCTAGACAAACCTTCAGGCTGTAGCGCTTTTATCTTGACAGAAGTTTCCTCCACAATTTTAGCTGCCTGGGCATCAACATTCCCGACTGCACAACGGAGTTTATCATAAGAGCCATAATCAATAGTTCCCTTACACAGCAGACTCCGACATATTTGCCCAAAATGGTTAATGTCATCCCCAAGTAAATCTACCGGATCCATAATGACCTCTAGTTCCACCAAAATACTCTGCCAGGTGTTCAGATTCGGCCTGAATATTTCACTTAGGCGTCGGACCATGTCAGCATGCAGCTTCTTGATCTGCAACTGCTGACTGTGAGCCGAGGAAGTCTAAAGAAATGACAAACAAGCAAAAGAGATAGTTTTCAACTAGAACACTGACAGTTCAGTAAGGGCCCCGTCTTGTGGCAATATATCCCCCATAATCATCAAGAAGCAATCTGCCCATATAGCTGAGCTTGACGTTTGACATTTTGACTTCAAAAAGAATCGCAAGAAAGCATTTTACATGTACTATGATGGGAGTCTTGTTTCCTTCCACCTCCATATTTGCTGGGCTAACAGAAATGTAAATACCGGTGCAATACTCATTTGTTAGCTTTGTTTTATTTCACCTTATATACCTCCTCCATCAAGAGCCTGGGTCAAAGTCAGAGATCCACTTTGTCTTTGACCTTTGGACCCAAATGACCTTGACCATTAAACCAGTGACCCTGATCTTTGGTCGGTTGACTTATTCTTTAATTCAGACCAACTTTACTTCTTAATATCATAACAAAATGTTCATCAGGGAAAAGGTACAAAATTTAACCTTCACCTTTGACCCAGTGACCTTGACCTTTGGACAATTGACTCCTTGTTTAATTATGAGCAACATTGCTTCAAAGTGTCATAGCGAAATGTTCACAATTGAAAAGATATAAATTTAACCTTGACCTTTGACCCAATGACCTTGACCTTTGGTCAGTCGACTTCTTGTTTAATTCTGTTCAACTTTGCTTCATCATGTCAAAACAAAATGATCATCAGTGAAAAGATGCAAAAAATTGACCTTGACCTTTAAATCTAATAACCTTGACCTTTGATCTTAACTTTTTACCTCAGTGTGTCTCTTTGTCTTCTTCCAAACAAATTTGCTTCATAATGTCATAGCGAAATGTCCACCAGTGAAAAGCTACAAACTTTGACCTTGACCCCTGACCCGATGACCTTGACCTTAGGTCAATTGACTCAATATGATCAACTTTGCTTTATAATGTCATAACAAAATGTTCATCAGTGAAAAGATGTAAAATTTGACCTAATGACCTTGACCTTTGACCTTATCTTTTACCTCAATGTGTATTTTTGTGAACTGAACATCTTGACCAAGTTTCATGTACATCGGTCAATAGATACCAAAGTTATCAGCCAGGAACAGAATTTGTGGACAGACATACAGACAGGCAGACAGAGTGATTACTATAGGACACCCGTATACGGGGCCCTAATAAGTTGTTTTTAGTTATTGGTATGGAAAACAAAAGGCCCAGAGAGCCTGTATTGCTCACCTGGATATTAATGTTAAATAATCATGACCAGACATTTTTATTTAAGTAACATAAGTAGTATGGCCAATACTTGTAACAGATATATGTAAAACAAAACATGAAGACTGCAATTCACTAGCGCTTTCACCCATCTTGGGGCCCTTCAAGCGATTCGAATTAATTTGTGACATCATCAGTGGAGTAAACATACTTAAGAGGTCAAAAAATAATGACGTCATAAACAAAGTACACATAATGCGGACGTCCAGAAATACCTGTATTGCTCACCTGCTTTTTTTCTTACATGGAACTGACATATTAAGGTAACTTCAGACATGGAACAAAATGAAATAAAATACATTTTATTTCATGCAACAATGGTTTGTCAGAAATATAACACATACAAAAAAAAACAATATCAATATTGATGAACAACACACAAAAAACTGAGTAGTTTTCTAAAAGTAATACTAAAACAAACAAAAACGCCCGTTACATGAATCAATAAAATTCCGAGTGCCAATGCAACACGTTTAGGACAACGAAAAGAACATATAGGTGACAAAAAATAAATATCGTGCGGACTTACTTATTATACAAAAAAATGTATAAAGATACAAAAAAAAATAAAAAAAAAGATAGACAACTCTTACATTTGTACCAATAATAACTACAAATCCCAAAAAGTCATATATACAGTTTACAACCTACAATATAGCATTTTTTATATACGAAAATAATACAGTAGGCATGACCAACCAATAAAATGACTTCAAATGTAATTACCAATATAAAACAAAATTGCATATTGTATATGAATAATAAACAATGTACTTTCCTGTGTCATAGCAAAAATGTCACAATGAACAACAATAACAAAGTTTCACATACTTTACACAACAATAATAAATTTCTACATAATGTACAAATAACATACTATGTTGTGATATAAAAAATCACTCTATATACAACAATAATAAACGTCTACATTCTGAACAAAACAATAATAAACGTTCACATTATATACAGATAACAACATACTATATTGTGATATAAAAAATATCACACTATATTGCAATAATAAACTTTGTCATTATATACAGATAATAACATATATTGTGGCTTAACAAATATCACATTATACAACAATAATAAACTTTAACATAACGTACAAATAACAACATACGTTATTGTGGTATACAAATATCACATTTATGTAAAAATAACACTGTTATATGTAATATAAACAAGAATTCCACGGAAGTGAATGTGTCGCCTGCACAGTAAGCTGGGAGATTACGCACCAGCAAGACCAGCATCGCCTCACTGGTATCCATAAAAATATTCTTGAAAATGCAAGTATGCTTAGCACCGCATGAAGTCTGAGTTTGATCAGCCCAAGGAAACTCAAGTTATCGCACGAAAACAGATTGTCTATTTATAGTAACAGTGACCTTGACCTTTGACTTTCGGACCTGAAAAGCAATCCCAAGCAAGCACTTTTGGTAAGATCGAAGCACTGCATGAAGATTGAGTTTGATCGGCCCAAGGAAACTCAAGTTATCGCACGAAAACATATTTTCTATTCATAGTAAGTGACCTTGACCTTTGACCTTCGGACCTGAAAAGCAATCCCAAGCAAGCACTTTTGGTAAGATAGCACTGCATGAAGATTGAGTTTGATCGGCCAAAGGAAACTCAAGTTATCGCACGAAAACATATTTTCTATTTATAGTAAGTGACCTTGACCTTTGACCATCGGACCTGAAAAGCAATTCCACATAAGCACTTTTGGTAAGGAAGCTCTGCATGAAGTTTGAGTTGATCAGCCCAAGGAAACTCAAGTTATCGCACAAAACCCTCTGTGCGAACGACGACACCGACGACGCCGACACCGTAGCCGACGCCGACATAGCAATGCCTATGTGTCACCAGCTTTTCGCAGGCGACTCGAAAATGAACTTGAAATATAGGCCTATTGGGCATATACATGTAATAACAAATATAGAATATAATCCTGACTATTGTGATGTATACAATACTTCCCATGTCAAAATGTCTTTCTTGTTAGGTATTGCACAACCATAGCCTAGTACCGTATTCCTTACAATCTTTCTGGTCCAGGTATTCAGATAACATCGCGAGTTCAAGCACTCGCCTCCCTGCGACCAGGTTGAAAAGTTATTGGCTTATTCGTGATCACTAGTACTGGAGGGATCCTCATCGGTCGTCGGTGTCGGCTTATCAGTAAAATTGTCAGTAAGCTTAGTAGGGGCCTCAGTAGCCAGCGTCTTTTCAATGCGTGAACGAGTGTCACTTTGTTTCAGCGCATAGTTGTGGTCTAGCACTTGATATTGGACATCGTTGTTGTTATTATTGTCAGTTAATGCGTTAAGTTTACATTTTAAACGGCCTATTTTACGTCGGGCTTGCATGTCGGCCATCACTGTCACGACGTTGTTTACATCGTTACGACAGCTTTTTTTGCCCACACTTTCGCGATTGGAGATTTTCAACGCAAGGGACACAACTCTGTAGTCGAAACATTATTCAAACGGAATCTATTCAAGGGAAGATAACAACATTCTCGAAAAGGTAATCATGGGCAGGTGACTCTAACACTGAAAAACGACAGTGGAATTCTTTAGTGTTTTGCTTTGGTTGGGACGGGAAATCCTTAAAAGTGCGCTAAAATTCAGCTACAGGTAAAAAGTGTTTGTTTCAAAAGAACCTATTAAAAGATTTCAACATATTTGACCCCTGTGACCTTGAAAATGGGTGAAGATCATCCATTTTAACAAACTTGGTTAATACTTCATCCCAGTGTGTAACTGGCCAAATATCATCATCCTGGATCTTTTTTTTTTTTTGTTATTCAGAAGAAGTTCTTTTTAGGTTTTACACATATTTGACCCCTGTGACCTTGAGTATAAGTTCAAGTCATTCATTTGAACAAACTTGGTAGCCCTTCATCCCAGCATGCTACAGGTCTAATATCAGTACCCTGGGCCTTTTGGTTATTGAGAAAAAGTCGTTTGAAGATTTCAAGACATTTGACCCCTGTGACCTTGAAAGTGGTTCGAGGTCATTCATTTGGACAAACTTAGCAGTCCTTTATCCCAGCATGCTACAGGCCCAATATCAGTCCCCCTGGCTTTTTGGTTATTGAGAAGTTGTTTGAAGATGTTAAGACATTTGACCCCTGTGACCTTGAAAGTGGGTCAAGGTCATTCGTTTGAACAAACTTGGTAACGCTTCATACTAGCATGCTTCTGGCAAAATATTATCAGCCTCGGCCTCTTGGTAATTCAGAAGAAGTTGTTCAAAGTAAAAAGTTGACGCTGGACGAACGACGCTGGACGCCGCAGCAAGAAATTGTTTAAAGATTTTTTACGACAATTGACCTCTGTGATCTTGAAAATATATGAAGGTCATTCATTTAAACAAACTTGCATTTGGTAGCCCTTCATCCCAGCATGCTACTGGCCAAATATCTCCTTGGGTATTTTGGTTATTCAGAAGAAATTGTTTAAGTTTTTAACATATTTGACATCTGTGACCTTGAATAGTTGTCAAGGTCATGCGATTTATTTAAACAAACTTGGTAGCCCTTCATCACAGCATGCTACTGGTCAAATAGCATCATTTTAGGCCTTTTGGTTATTGAGAAGAAGTTGTTTAAAGGTATTTAACATATTTGACCCTTGTGACCTTAAATATAAGTAAAGGTCATTCATTTCAGCAAACTTGATAGCCCTTCATCCTAGCATGTTTCTGGCAAAATATCATTATCCTAGGCCT